TGTACACAGGACAATGACGCCTCAGTCCCCTTCAAAGAGGGCACCTCGGGACCTCACACAGTTCTCCCAATCTCCATCAGCTGTCCTGTCGTATTTTCCTGAATCTCATCAACTGCCTGAAATCTCTTCCCTTTCAAAGGTGATTTTAGTTTTGAGAAAAGCCAGAAGTCACAGAGTGTCAAATCTGGGCTATAGGGAGGCTGTCACCTGGGTGATTTGATGTTTTGCCAAAAAACTCTGCACAAGACGTGATGTATGTGTGGGCAGGTTGTCGTGACGAAGCTGCCAGTCACCAGTTGCCCATAGCTGCAGCCTCTGAATCATCTGAATAGTTTCTGCAGAGGGATGTTCAAGCTTAATGCAAAATTTGATGCAGATCTGTTGCTCTACTCGCTCAGTCATTTTGAATGCGACAGCCACACAGTACACAGGCTCACTCAATAGCATCTACCACCACCACTGACTAGTGCGGTGAAGTCATCATTCACGCAGGTGCATTCCAGTCCACTCTCCTTGGCTGCCAGGTTACAGCGATGTGGCGCAAACCATTCTCATTATACTAACAATGTTTGGACTTTCTCCGGACAGACCTCATTTTACATGATAAACATAATTCGGTTGTACTACACAGATCAAACAATGCCCAAGAATATTCATTAACATAGAGTAAAAATTGCCCTCCAAACCCTCTCCCTAGATGAGAGCCTCTGTTAATAGTTTTGGGTGTGTCCTTCAAGATTCTTTTCCATGAATGATACAGTTTTCTTCACATAAACCTCGTCCTCCATGCACTGCTCTGACTTATTTGCCCCAGCAGTGTGGGCGCTCCCACCGTGAGAACACCGTCTCCTCCATCCCTCCCACCGGCAGCACGGCATCCCACTGACGACAGCCCCCTCGGGTCCACAGGCATTTACTGAACCCTGCTGTGTGCCAGGCGCCAGGGATGGAGCAGGAATTAGAGCACCGTCTTTACCCTCAAGGCCTTGCTCTTCCTGAGGCCAGACATCAGGCTGCTTCCGAGTTGACATCTAACGTATCATGGAGCAGGGACCATCCGGCACGCTCATTCTGAATGCATGTGTGAGTACTGCTACTAGGGAACTCACTATGAACTACTATTAACTTACTTGAAAAGGAATTGTGCACATTGAAATTTCAAAAAACTTTTTTGTTGTTGATTTGAGAGAGAAACATTGATTTTTGTTTTTCCACTTATTTATGCGTTCACTGGTTGATTCTGGTTATGTGCCCTGGACCTGGGATTGAAGCAGCAACCTTGGCGTATCAGGATGATGCTCTAACCAACTGAGCTACCTGGCCAGGGCCTGCACATTACATTTTGATAGTTATTGGCGACACGGAGGAGTGTTCAAGTAGGGGGTGACACAGTTATATGTACAGCCATCCACCCCTCCACTGACCGATCCATCCGCGCACTCATCTGGCAACTATTTACGGAGTGTCTGTCATGCAGCTGGTCCTGAGCTGAGCATGGGCACACCGTGGGTGTGGTGTCTGAGATAAGTAAACAGCCCCACGAGAGTTGGTCCGGGTCCAGGTAAGGGCGAGGATTCTCCAAGGCCGTCCCACTTTCTCCCGCTGCGTTCCTAGAGGCCTCAGCCCCGCTCCGTTCCCGCCCCCGCTGCTCCTGTCCCGCACCTGTTGCTGCACTTACGCTCACTCACCTCCCGACTTCAAGAACCTGATGACATTTAGTCAAATTCGCAACCCCGGGAATATTCAAAAAGCGCTCATTGAGTAACTGTTACCACTGCACAGTGTGTGCTGAGCTCTTCCTCTGAAATGTGTGCCCTTTCTCTTCCCATCGCCCTGCCCTGGCTCCGCTCTGGTCTGACCACCAGTCTCCCGTTGGGATGCCTGTAATAGCCTCTTTGCCTGGCTGCCTGCTTCTGTTCGTGGCCCTGACAATCAACCCATTCCCCAATCAGCAGCCAGAAGGAACTTCTAACGCGGTATTTTGGCTCTTGTCACTAGCTTGCTTACATCCTCCAAGGCTGTCCCTTTGGGGTTAGAATAAAATCTAAACTCCCAGGACCATGAGCCTGTGTGAGCAGGTTCCTGCCAGGCCCCAGGCCTCCCTCTCCCCTCCCTCTACTCGCCCTCCTCCAGTCAGGCCGAGTCCCCCAAACACGCCAGTTTCTGCCTCTGCCCCGGGAGCTTCCTGTGCTTGAGTCCCCCCGATTAGTCAGGTCTGGGTTGAGACCACAGCTCACAGAGACCTTCCTAGACTACCCCCTCTAAGTCAGGACCCCCAATCCAGTCACCCTAACATTCCCCTGGGCTTCCTTCTCTAGATCCTTTGTCTGAATCATCTTGTGAAATGCTGGTTTCCTTCTATGTCTGATCCGCGTCTCAAGGAGGTAAGACAAGGAACTAGGAGCTTGGTAAGACATTCCCAAGGAGCTATCCTTGGGAATATTCGGGGGCTGGAGAAGTATGGAAGTGCTGGCCTGGAGTCCCTGCTGCCCACTCCTTCAGACCCCCGTATCCCCCCAGGCCCGAGCCTTTTGCAGGCACCGCCTCTGGAACATTCTGGAAAGGTTGGTATTCTCATTCCCATTTTACAGGTGAAGAAACTGTGGCTCAGAGATAGAAAAGTTTAGGGTATGTCCTTCAAGATTCCTTCCCATACAAAGCAACCGACACGCAGAGTCTGTGCGACACAGGTGGTCAATGTTCCATCTTCCAGATCTGAACCCAACTCTGTTGGCTGCAGGGCAAGTGGCCCTAGCCGTACCACACTGAACTCCTTTGGGAGTCCCCGAGCTCCGCGTCCCGAACCGAGGTCACGCTGCCCACGTGCAGCAGAACCAGGATTCTAACCTAGGGTTGTGTCACCCCAGATGGAGCCTCGTGTCCTGGCACCACACTCTCTCCCTTCCCCAGGCACCATCCGGGAAGGAAAACTTCCTGGGGGGCCTGCCCTGAGGTTTCAGGGAGTTGGACACCCCACTGAGCTCAGGCTGGCAGTCGGGCCCCCACCCTCCAGTTGGAGTGGCCTGGGGTTACTCATAGTCACAGCTGAGGAGCCAGCCAGGTCTTGGGACATTGTTGGCTGGCTCCTTCCTCTGAAATCCCCTCCTGGGGTCAGGTAGCCACAGACTGTCACCTTGTGCGGGAGGAGCACACACCCCACAGTGGGGGCAGCAGGGCCACACACTAGAGTCTGTGCTCTGGAGTCAAAACCTAGTCAAGTTAAAAAATAAATAAATAAATAAATAAATAAATAAATAAAATGCTATTTAAAAAAAGACCTAGTCAAGTGATGTAAATTCTCCAGGCCTCAACTTCCTTGGCTATAAATGAGGGTACATGAATGGGAGCTGCTATTATCATTATGTTTCTCTCTGGCTAACGATGTGTTCTAAATTATGGGATAAAGTGGAGATAAATACAGGGTAGGGCAAAAGTAGGTTTCCAGTGGGCATACACACAACACAGTTTATTCTTGTATTATTATTTAATTGTTGCATTATTTTCTATACGAACAACTGGAAACCCACTTTTGCCCAGCCCTGTGCAGGTCGCCACCCACTTTAGGGCTGGGAAGGAGGAAGAAATCAGAAATCTGAGCTCTCCAGTTACGTGTCTGGATGCAAATCTAGCTGATTCCATGAATGCTCCTCAGACCCATCCTCTCATTTTCCCCCAGGGCTCAGGTTCCAGCGTCATTGTCTCCGATCGCCCCAAGAGGCCCTTCACCTGTTTCCCATCTCCTCCCCTCCATTCTACCTGCAGCCAGAGCAAGCTTCTTACGACAAAAAGCAAATTTGTCTGGGTCACTCCTCCTCAAAATGTATAAGTGGCTCCTTTCCTTACTCTGGTCTACAAGACTCTGCATGATTCCAGTCCCATCTCCTGCCAAATTGCCCATCCCCCCACCCCAAATTGCCAAAATGCATTGCAGAAGGAAGGACTCGTAGCTTTGTGTGGGCACTGCTCTCCCTGGCCAGTAGGCCTCTGGAGGCTCCCCCTGCCCGGACCCTGTCTAAACCAGAGCATGCATCCTGTGGGTGGCTTGGAATATTTTGTGCCAGAAAGCTCCTGGGTCCTCATCGCCACCATCCTTACTCTACTGAGCTTCCCTAGTCCCCTATTACAGTTCTCATCTACTAGATTTGTCTCTGTCTGCTTCATCTGTTCTTGAGCTTGGAGAAGTTGGAGAGCTCAGGCCCACCAAGCTCACTGCTAGATCCGAACGTGGCTCAGAGCAGATTGCCCCTAAACATTGAAATACTGTATGAATGAAGTACAGAACGCCCAAGGTCTGAAAGGCACGAGGCTCCAGAAGCGACCCCTGCGCCTAGGGCAGTTAATCTAGTTAGGGAGACCAGCCATAACTAGGTAAGAAACGACAACAAACGGCTTAGGTAGCAGTTCGGGTTGGGAGAAGCCAGGTCTATCACAGGTTGGTGGTGAATTGCTCTAAATCACCCCCTCCACGAAGCATTTGCAGACACTCCTCTCATCAGAGCTGAGACCTATCGTTTCAGAGGCTGTTAAGACCTGCTTGGTCTAATCCCCTCCACCTCTCTGGGGTGTGTTTTCTGGGGGGGGGGGGAAAGGGGGACTTGCTACCTCCCAGGCCTAATTAAGTGATCAGCACGCTCAGGTCGGGATGGGGTGGCCATTTGGAAGGTCATTCCAGCCACAGTTTTCACATTGTTTCTTCTCTTCATTGTTTCTTCTTTTCTTCTGCTCGCGCCCTCCTCCTTGCTCCGCCAGCCCCGGTTTCCCGCCCCGCGACCTCCCACTGCCTTCGCGGGGCCCCTCTCTCTTTCCCTCCGCTCCTCCCGGACCGCGGAGGCGAGCCCAGCCACGCGGCACACCAATGCAAACTACCCGAGCCGCCTCTGCCCCTCCAAGTCCCGCCTCACGCCTCCACCCACCAATCGGGTTCCGCGCCCGCTCCGTCGGTCCGCCCAATCGCTGGCTGGCTGAGCAGCCGGCGCCCCGCCCCTCCCGCGCTTCGCCGCGGCTCCACCGGCTGCCGTGCTGGGCCTCGGCATTCTCGCAGCGGCGCCGCGCAGCATTAGGCTTGGGTCGCGGCATCGGGAGCGCAAGCGGCGGTGCTGCTGCTCGTGAGGTGCCGGGCAGAGGCGGCGGGCGAGGCGGGCGCCACTGGCCGGCCGGAAGGGCGCTTCAGCTCCGCAGGAGCCCGCGGTGCGGGACCCAGGACCGAGAAGGAGGCAGCGCCCTCGCTGTCCGGGGCCCGGCCCAGTGCCGGCCCGGAGGGGTCGCGGCCGGACGTCTTCGGCCCCGACGCGCCTCCCGGAGAGGACCCCAGAGTTCCTGGCCGCCCCCTGGGGGTGCCCTCAGCCCCCCGGGATTCACCTGCGCAGGCCGCCTGGCACCCAGGTGCGGGGGCGTGTGCGCGGCGAGGGCACCTCCCCCGGCCGCCAGCGGGGCGGGGGCGGGGCTGCCCGCCGCCTTCGGCCTCACCAGTCCGCCTGCCGCCTTCAGTCTCACCGGTCCGTCCGCCACGCTCGGCCGCCGGGCGTGAGCTACCCGGGGACCGCGGGTCGGGATGCTGCCTGCCAGTGCGGCCGCTCGCGTGCCTCCCGCCACTCCTGTCCTCGCTTCTTGGGCCGCGGCCCGCTGTTTACATGCCGGTGAAGCCCCTGGCCACTCCGAGCCCCTGCGAGCCCCAGCTCCCCGAGGGTGAAGCCAGCCGCCCCGCGAATTGGACTGGTCGTTCAGACCTGGGCCCTCCGGACTCGGATCCCCGCCCGCTCTGCCGCCTCCGCCACCATCTGGGCGGGATCGGGCTCTGGTGTTTTGAGGAGGGGGTGTGGTGTAGGGAAAGGAATCCTGGGGATTTCTGGCTCCCCCCCTTTTTTGGCCTTCGAGGCTTTAGACTCAGGGAACTCGCTCATGGCTTTCTTGATGAAGAAGAAGAAATTCAAATTCCAAACCACTTTCACCCTGGAGGAGTTGACGGCTGTCCCCTTTGTGAACGGGGTCCTCTTCTGCAAAGTGCGACTGCTGGATGGCGGGGATTTTGTCAGCTTATCGTCAAGGTAGGAGCTGGGACAGTCTCGTCTGCAGGGGAGGAGGGGTGAAGAACGAGATCTAGCCAGTTGGCGAATGTGCAAGCGCCCCTTGGGGCCGAGAGTCCTCCTGAGGGTTCTGTGTGTCTGGGACGGGTTTCCACAAGGCAGGGCTTGAGCGATCTGGGGGGTCCGGGCCTGAGGAATCCGACAGAGTGCCCACACCCGTCTGCAGGTGACCTGCCAGATACCTGGGGGGGGTCTCTTCTCTTAGCCCCCTCTTGGGGCCCTCCAGGCAGCCTGCCGTAGGTCTGTTCTGCAGACTTGCACAAAGAGCCCCGAGGGTTTGCATATGGAGGGGGCTGAAATAGGGAGGAGTCTTCTAGGCTACCTTGCACCCAGCTGGCCGTTTGGGCTGTCGTTATGATTTAGAGCCCTGGCCAGCCACAGGTGCCCAGGTACTCCCAGCTCTGGGAAGGCCCGACCCAGGCACTCCTGGTCTGTCTGGAGGGAGGTGGCTGGATTTTGGCCTGCCCAGCCGCCTCTGAGTGCCCTCATCTAGCTGGAGCAGGGCTGCTGTTTTGCATTGCAAATGCCCCCGTCAAGGAGGCCGCAGCCCTCTCTGAAAGAGGCTTGATCAACTTTGGTTTTGTGTTCCCCATCCTGCAGGTCCAGCTGCCCAGCCCCTTGGGGAGGGCAGCTGAGTTCCCAAGCTGCACCCCCTGACCGGGCCCACCTGGGGTCACAGAGTCTTGGCCTGCTTGGGAGAGTTCCTGGGAGTTTGACAGATGGGGGTTTGAGTCCTAACCCTGTCACTTTCTGGGCCCAATGCAGGTCCCTTTCAGAAAGTCATGGAGATGTTTCAGTCGATAGAAGGCGTTGCAGGGCCTGGCCCAGTGCCTAGGACAAGCTGGTTCCCCTCCCTGGTCTGTTCCTCTGCTCCCTAAGCCTTCGTGGGGGGTGCCTGCTAAGGGAGGGAGAAACTGAGGCCCAGAAAGAGGAAGTAAGTGGCTTGCCAGAGACCTCTCAGGAAGCAGTTGTCAACTGAACTCGGTTTGTTTGGAGACTCGTTGGTGTATCTGGCGGTCAAACGTTTGGTTGGGAGGAGGGGAGGAGCGCTGTACAGCTTAACCCAGATTTAGGGCCCTCCAGTGTGGACAGGGTGGGGTGCCTTTTCATGCAGTGGGGCCTGCTCAGGTCTGGAGGTTCTCCAGTCTCCTAGGAGCTGCTTTTCTGGGGGATTGAGACTAGGGCTGCCCTTTGCTGAGGGCTGGGTGGTGGGGATAGGGTGGGATGTATATGGTTGCTGAGGAAGCCTGTGATTCCCGGGCTACCCCACACAGCTGCCCGAGGGTGAGGGGAAGGGCTGTGCTCACAGCTAGGGTCTGGGGTTGATCACTTAACTCACCGGCTGGTGGCTTTGCGCGAGTTACCTAACCCCTGTAATCCCGGCGACCAGCAGTTACTGGGGCGGTGCTCGCCGTCTCACTAGTAGCACCTTTCGCTTGTCTCTTTGCCGCTGCCACGGAGCAGGGTAGAGGCTGGGTGGGGGGGCCTGTAGGATCACTGTCCCCATTTTAGAGAGGTGGAAACCGAGGCTCAGAGAGGGAGTGGTTTGCCCAGGTTAATACAGCAGAGCCCAGGTCCAAACTCAGCGCGGGCTTTCAGTCGCTGTCCTGTTCCGCCTTTGAGCCTCAGTTTCCTCATCTCTAGAGCTGTGAGGGGGACGGATAATACCGTACGTGTCTGGCTCTGCAGATTGTGGCAGCGGTTGTGGTTTCTGCGGCAGAGGGCCGCAGCCCTCACCCCTCCCAGGTCTCAGGGGGACCAGCTGCAGTCAGCAGGGGGTCTACATGTGAGCTGGTGGTAGGGCCAGGGCCTTGGATCCCGCCGAGGAACTGGTGTTCAGCCCCACCCTGAGGTCTCTACCGGCTTCCCAGACCCTGGGGCCACTGCCACCCTACCTGTCAGCCTTTCCATCGCCCTAAACCTGCCCCCAAGCTTGGGAGAGTCTGGAAAGTTCCAGGTGTCAGCCCACAGCTGCTGGATTTCACCTTTGCCTCTCCTTCTTCCCTCTTGGCAAGGGGCCATGGATTCCCTGAACCCGGCGAGCCCAAACAGCCCTGCCCAGCCCTCATCCTGGCTGAAACCTGAGCGGGGCTGCAGAGGGGGGAGCTGACATCGAGCCCCCCAAAGCTGGGGGGGGGGGGCTCCGGGTGCCTGTTCGCCGCTGTGCAGGCGTGGCTGGCGGGAGCAGACATCAGCTGTGAGATGTGAGGCAGCTTTAGAGCTGCTTTGGATTTTGCTCAGAAGACACGGGTTTCTGTGTTTTGTGGGTTTTTTTTCGTATTTTTATCTCTTCCACTCCCATCCCACCCACCTGGATCTGCAGCCCGGGAGCCCCGCCTCACAGCCCATCGCTCCAGACAGACAGGCCCCGGGGTTGTGGAGTTGGGATGGGGTTAGACGTGACGGGACCTGCCTAGATCCTGGCCCCAGAGCCAGTGGCTCACTCGCCCCAACGCCAGGGGCCCCTGAGGTGGCCCAGAGACGGGGGGCGGTGGTGGCATGGGTGGCGTCTGAGGGAAGCAGGCTCCAGGCCCCACCCTCGCAGCACCCTCCTTCCTACTTGGAGTGTTTCCCTGTGTGTTGGGTGCCATGGCAACAGCACGGCGCACGGTTCCAGCCTGACCCACTTTGAGCAGGTAGAACAGGTGGTGGTTTGTCGCCCTGTTCCCATCGTCACCTTTCTGAGGCCTCCGTGCGAACCGTCGTCCTCACAGCTGCAGTGCTCCGATGCCCGTGCCACGCGCCAGGCGCCGCGCTGAGACTCTTGCAGACCGTGTGTCCGTTCATCCTCTTGGCCGTCGGGAGACGCACCAAAGGCCGGGAAGGTGAAGCCACGTGTCATAGGTCACCTGGCTGGTCATTTAATTGAGAAAATAACCCTTTTACCATTGGGGTTCAAACTGCCTTTGATTGTGCGCTTACCGTATGCCAGGCACCGTGAATGCATGAACCTCAAACCGCCCCACGAGCCGATGAGGCAGCTGAGGCCAGAAGACGGAAAGTGGTCAGCCCGTGCCACTCGGCTAGGGAGTGGCATCACCGTGACTTAAATTCGGGCTCGTCCAGCTCCAGAGTCCTGCCCTCCCTTGGTGGCAGAGGGCAGAAGCAGCTACAGCCCCATGTGATGTCCCCAGACCTTCTAAGTAGTTTCTTTTTAGTGGGTTGGGTGGGGGGCGTACAGGAAACTCCAGATAGGGATAATTTCGGGTCACTGAGCTAGATCCTGTGAGATCTCAAGATAAGGGACAAGGGGCCCCGGGGACATAGCTGGGGGTGGGGCTGAAGTCACTGCCATGGTTTTGGGGCCAGGCGCGGACTGGCACTGTGGGACAGTGGGCATGTGCCAAGGACCCTGCCCGGAGGCCTCCTAAGTGGATGTATCCAAATGGCAGCTGAGAGGCTTTCCCAGGGTCCCCGGGGAGGGGTGCAGAGGTCCCAGCCAAGTCTGGTAGGTCTAGAAGCAGTGGGCTGGGCTGTGCTCTCCCCGGGGCGGGCTGGGGGCACGTTCCCAGCCTCCAGCCGTTTGTCCTTCAGGCACGATCCCAAACCTCCCGAGAGGTCTCTGTGTCCAGCTGGCACTGGTCCTGTGGCCTGCCCCGTGCACGTGGCTGGCAGTGCCAGGGGAGGGAGCGAGGGGGAGGTGTCGATTTACCCTACAAGTCCTCTCTGGAAGAGACAGGCAGAGATGAGAAACTGAGGCCTGGGGCCAGGAAGTCACTTGTTCAGGTCCCTTCGTGGGAGCTGCTGAGGGTGCAGCTGGGCGGATTTCGGTCCGGCCCTGACCTCTGTCTCCTGTGCCTCCGTACCCCTTTTTGCATGAAGTGGGCAGGCAGGACCGGGGAGAGAGGAGGGACCCCTTCAGGGGATCCTCCTGCTGCTCTGGACGTGGGTGCCAGGCCGTCTGAGAAGCAGACTGTGACTTGGGGAGACACCTCCCCCTTCCTTTCTTCTTTGGTAACTTTGAACCCTCTATTGTCTCTCTTTTTTAAAAACAAGATTTTATTTATTTTTAAAGGGAAGGGAGGGAGAGAGGGAGAGAAACATTGATGTGTGAGAGATACATTGAATCAGTTGCCCCTGCAAGCCCCCAGCTGGGGACCTGGCCCCACAACCCAGGCATGTGCCCTGACTGGGGATCGAACTGGTGACCTTTCCGTTCACAGGCCAGTGCCTAACCCACTGAGCCACACCAGCCAGGGCTCTACTGCTTTTTCAGTGGGATTTTTACTCGGTCAACCTGTTGAAAGAAGACACCCCTGCCCCCAGCACAGGCACTGCCTTTCCTCTCTGGGCCAGGCTTTGAACCAGCTGGGGTGGGAGGCCTCAGAGGGACGTTTGGGATTTTTGGGGCATGAATAAGGCCTTGGCCAGGTCAGCTCTGCAGCTGGAGGGCCCTGTGCCCAGGCCTGGCCCCCGCAGGTCTTTGCACGCACGCCACAGGCTTGGCCGGGCCTCCACTTCCCCGTGGCCCTCCTCCTCCCTCCCTCCTTGCCAGAGGCCACTGGCATCCTCTGTCACCTTGGTGCGGGGGGAGGGTGCTATGGGGATGACGCGCAGTTTGTCCTTTGGGCCCAAGGGGGTGAGGACCTTGAGGCAGGCAGCGTACCAGCTTTCCGTCACAGAGCAGGAGCTCTGGACACTGGGAGTGGGGGGAGGGAGGAGGAGACCACATGTGTTGAGGACCCCCTGGGTCCTGGGCTTCCAAGGGGAAGGGGACGGGGACCAGACAGCCCTGCGCCCGTGGAACTCCCCGCGGGGCAGCATGGAGAGAGAGAGAGAGACGTCAGAGCCAGGCAGGCCTGTGGCAGGTCCTCCCCAGGATTCCAGTAGATCCCCACGGACCGGCTGGGGAAGGGGTTTCTGTTCAGTCGTCTGTCTGTCCGTCTGTGCGACAGGTGTTGATGGGGCACCCGTCTCGGGCTGGACGTAGTCCTTGCCTTTGTGGAGCTCGCGATCACGTG